CCTATCACAGTGTGATGATATGTTTAGAAAGACAATAAGGCCTCTGGGACAGCTGAGACAGGGCTAAGAGCTTGGAGGATTTCATTGTCTGAAAAACTGGACATAGACATGGAAAGCAGGAGAGCATTCCAGGAGCATGAGCATGTCATGCAGGATGAGATGCTGTGGATTATGAAGAACCAATCCGACATGTTGAGGCATCTGGTTGAGCTTCAGGAAAAGCAGCTTGAGGCTAAAATCCCTCTGCAGCCCCTGCAGAACTGCCTGCAAGCATTGTCCTGTTCCCAATCCTCCTCCCCAAAACGTTCCAGGAGCTGGGGGTGGGGTGTGCAGTATCTCTTCCACTCAACACTGAGGAGGGTACTAAGAACAAAAGGCAACCATTCAAAGACCTTTGATGGGCAAGACTTCTGTGCTTTCACAGACAAACTGACTTGGTTTCTCCCCCCCCCCAATATTATTCCATCATTTGCCCAAAGTTAAAGAAACAGAAAGAACAGGAAAATAATGTATGTGTGTGCAATAAAAGTATTTGTTTCGAGAATTAAATGCTCTTTATTTATTCTAATCATTGAGGTTTGGGTGGGGGAGGGGGTACAGAGAAATTGATTCAATGGAGGGGATGGCACAACACAGATAAGCGGTGCACATTACTGAAACAGGTTTTCAAAGCATCCAAGAGATGCAGAGATCCTTGCTGGGCTCTTCTTATTGCCCTGGTATCTGGCTGCTCAAAATTAGCTGCCAATCTATCTGCCTCCATACACCACCCCTGCAGAAACTTCTCTCCCTTTGCCTCACAGATATTATGGAGCACACGGCAGGCAGTGATAACAATGGGGATATTGCTTTCACTGAAATTCAACCTAGTAAGCAAATTGTGCCAGCAACTCTTTAAATGTCCAAAGGCACATTCCACCACCATTCTGCATTTGCTCAACCTGTTGTTGAAATGCTCCTTACTGTTGTCCAGGTGGCCAATGTTTGGCTTCATGAGCCACAGGAACAAAGGGTAGGCTGGGTCTCCCAAGATCACGATTGGCATGTCAACATCATCAATGCTTATTTTGTGATCTCGAAAAAGTCCCTGATTGCAGCTTTCTGAACAGACCTGTTTTCCTAAAGATGCGCGCATCATGCACCTTTCCTGACCCTCCCACATTGATGATGGTGAAATGCCCCTTATGATCCACCAGTGCTTGCAACACCATTGAAAATTATGCCTTACGCTTTATGTACTCTTTGGCAAGGTGGTCTGCTGCCAAGATAAGCATATGCGTGCCATCTATCACCTCACCGCTGTTAGGGAACCCCATCGTGACAAAACCATCCACTATGTCCTGCACGTTGCCCAGAGTCACTACCCTTCTTAGCAGAAGTCGATTAATGCCCCTGCATACTTGGATCACAACAGATCCCATGGTGGATTTACCAACTCCGAATTGATTCCCACTGACTGGTAGCAGTCTGGCATTGCAAACTTCCACAGAGCAATCACCACTTGCTTCTCCATAGTCAGAGCAGGTCTCATGTTAGTGTTGCTGTACTTCAGGGCTGGGGAAAGCTCTGCACTAAGTTCCTGGAAAGTGGACTTATGGATTCAAAAGTTCTGTAGCCACTACTCGTCATCCCATAGCTGCATAACAATGCAATACCATCACTCTGTGCTTGTTTCCCAGGATCAGAAATGGCGCTCCACCCTTTTCAGCTGCTGCACGACTGCCAGCAGCAACCAGGAATTTTTTCATCCTATGGCTTGCAGCAGGGCTGCTTGCATGCCTTTCTCAGCTGTGGAAATACTGCAGGATAAGGCAAAAGGTGTTTCTAATGCTCACAACAGTGCACAGCTGAATGGGGTCCATGCTTCTTGGGGTATGACATGCACATGGCTAAGCCAGGCTTTCGGAAAAAAAGGCATGAGAAAGTGCCATTGATATCAGGGTAAGGAGGGAGGTAGGAAACTGCATCATGGGAGGCCAAAGCCATGTTCCCATTCCCCCCTGCATCAATGTTTTGGTCCCATGAGGCACTGTAAGCTCTTCCCAAAACCCCCTGTGGCTAGTTGCACTGTGGGATAGCTACCCATAGTGCACTTCTTTGTGTATCAATACAAGTGTTGCTAGTGAGGACACACACACAACCAACTTAATTACTGCGGCGGCTGGATGTCAACTTACCTTAAGTTGACTTAACTTTGTAGTATAGACATACCCTCAGTTACCTTTTAGCCTGCAGTACACCAACCACCAAACCCATGGAGATAACTTTCATAAAATTAATACAGATATCTCCCAGTTTCTTCACAGCAGTATTTTAGTAGTGGTTTTACCAATGAAGTCTACCAGTATACACTTCCCTAGTACTACTCATTACTCCCCTCCAAGGAACTTTTTGCCACAACATTGCTTTGGGATTTCATGATTCCTATATCCCTTTCAGAGCCACTTTTTTCCAGGAGATCTTATTTGGTTGCATTCTTTCTTCTTAGATATATGACTTAAACTTTTGCTGTATTAAAATGCTTTCTGTTTGAATGAGCTCAATTTACCGAGAAATCCAGACCATCTGGATGACTGCCTTGTCCTCATTTACCACTCTGCTTATCTCTGTGCCATCTGCCAATTTCATCAGCAGTGATTTTATATTTACTTCCAGACCTTTGGTAAAAATATAAAATATCATCTGCCTTGTAGAACTCCAATAGAAACACCTCAATTCAAAGATTATTCCCACTGATCATTCCTTTTTGAAATCTGTCAGTTATATCTGTCCATATAGCATGAGCTTTATTGATATTGTCTAGATTTCACCAGCCAACTCTTTTAGGGCTCTTGTTATCTGGTCCTGATGCTTTTAGAGCAGTTGTCCCTAGTAGATGCTGATTTAACATCTCCCTTAGTTACTAATAGATGGGGAAGCAGTTCATCATCCTCATGCAATCTGAATACATCAGTTGGCTTCCTTCCAAATATAGAACAGAAATATTTATTAAACACTTCTGCCTTTACTGTATCATTTTATTGACAATTTTACCATTTTTACCTAGTAATGGGCCTGTCCCATTATTGGGATTTATTTTGTTCCTGGTATACTCAAAAACCTCTCCTTATTGTCCTTAGTTCTGCAGCCATGATTTTTTTCTGGATGTCTTTAGCTTTCCTTATCTATTTTCTACACTTCATAACCTCTAATGTATATTGTTTGCCATCTGCCTCACTTTTTTCCATAGATATATCTGCCAGATGGAGTTGGCAGCAACAAGGGCTAGGGCTCAGTGTCTATGGGTTCCTCTTACCAATACAAAAGAGAACCATCTCAAGCCCCTATCCAATAATCTGATAAAACTAATTAGCACCCTTGGGCACCTCTAAGAGTCAATACTTACTCACTCAGAAGCACTGAGTCTGTGTATAACACAAGAAAATTTTTGTTAAAAGGGAAATAGAAGCCAGCATTACTTTGGGAAAACACCACAACCATGATTCAAAAGCATGTAACCATAAGCAACACCCACCTCACAGTGCATTGGGGCAGTGTCCTTTGTCTCAGTTTCCCATCTTGCAGCATGAAAGTCTGACAAATAGATGTTCCTTTAACACACCACTCCCCTCTCCCTGAACTGCACCCTACTCACAGTTGGCTGTCCTTGGTCAGCGAAGACCATTAGTTCAGAGGTGCATTCACCTAGATTCACTTCCCACCCCTGAAAAGGAGCGGGAGTGTCAAGCAATGTCTGCTGCTGCTGCTGCCTCTGCAACTGGCTGACTGCTTGCACTGTACTCTGCCATCACTAGCTACGTGCTACCACCTCTGTTGCTGTTATCTCTGCTGCTGTTCAGCTCTGCTGCGGTCATCAGTGCTGCTTGCCACTCACTGCCACTTCTGTGATGCCCCATTCTGAGGTTCTACCACTTAGCCCAGCTCTTAGTGATTTCTCTGGATAGTGAGGAATCTCTCTACTGTTGCCTCTTGTCTTCCATTGCAACACTGTCTTCACACCAGGTTGAAGGCTTAAAGCTGCTCATCAGTGATTTCAGCTCTGATAATCACTCAACAGAAACAAGAACTTTTAATTGAGTTTACTCAACTCTCCCTTTGAACACTAAAGAGAACAGAACCAAATAGTATCTAGAACCCTTCAAAGCAGAGCCCACACCACTAAATAAGAACATCTGTCCCTAACCATCTAACTTTCACTGGGATGTGACATCCCTACTCCCTACTTAGCAAGTGGGTTTGAGGTTAGGGTGACCCCCTCAATCAGGGCATGCTAAGCACAGTTCTGCTGCCCTTTACTCATACAGTAAGGATAACAACATTTCATTACCCCTGCATTCTAAGTGATTTGTATCCCAAAACCAGCCAAAATTTATCACTTTGGCAACAGTAGCTCTGTCTGCTGAACACCTAGGTGTGTGTATGCAAATATAATCTGGTCCTGAGGTCTTCCCCCCTACCCCCGTTTCTTTTGCTGAATTTTCTTTCTGCTGCCATGGTTGAAACTCCTGCATGGGGATGGGGATCATTACTGAGACAGCCCCTTTACCCCAGTTTGTTTCCTATTGGTTACACTTCATATTGCTTGTTAGGATATAGATATTCAGGCCTATTTCCGATCGAAAATAAGGAAAAAGGAACTTGGGATTTAAGCTTGCTGGAAGTTCACCCCAATAAATATTGAACTGTTTGTACCTTCGGACTTTGGTTATTGTTGCTCTCTGATCATGCAAGAAGGAGCAGGGAAGTGGGAGGGTGAAGGAATAAGCCCTCTAAACATTGCTCTTTACAGAATGAGGCTGGGAATGAAATACTTCATTTTTACCTTATTACTTTTGCAGAAAAGGACAAAGAAGAGAATTGTATAATAACTAGTAAACCTCTATTGTGATCTGTCACTTTGCAATTTCACCCTTCCACCTCTCCTGAGAGGTGGTGGCATGATGATTCTCCCTCCCCAGACCTTCCAATTCAGGTGAGTTTGGAGTTAAAGTGGAAATGTGTTAGAAAAATAACAACAGGGTTTTATTCAGAAGTCAAATTCAAACTAGCACAAAGTGCAGTGAATACCGTATCTCATTTGAGCCAGTTACAGAGTGAGCCCCACTCCTCACCCACAGCCTCTCCCACCCTGAGCTTCCCAAATACAGTATTTTAGCAAGATACTAACAAGGGATGTAACTGGCTCTCAATCTCTCCTGCTGAAGAGCTTCTTCATATAAATAATTAAATATTCATTGGATAAGAAAGAGGAGACAAAGCAGGAGTTTGACTCTGTAGCTCAGTGGTCAGGGCAATCCCCTGAGATGTGAGAGAGGCCCAGCTCCAAAAATATTTTATCTATATCAAGTGGAACAGCTTCAGCAGGGAAGACTGAGACATAACCACCCCAGAATACTCAACAACTCAGTAGTTAGAGCACTCACCTGGGATGTGGGAGAACTGACTTCAAGTCCCTGCTCCAATTCAGGCAGAACAGGGATACAAACCTGGGCCTCTTACATTATAGGGGAGTGCTCTACCCACTAAGCTAATAATGTTATTAAGTTGCATTATTGTAGCACATAGGATCTCTAGTTGTGACCAGGATCCCATTGTGCTAGGCACTGTACAAACAGAACAAAAAGACAGTTCCTGCCCCAAAGAGCTTACAATCTAAGCGTAAAGCAAGAGACTTGTAGGGGAATAAAAGGAAACAATGAGACAATAATGGTCAGGCTGATCAGCATTCTAACCATTGTCAATATATTACAGGCATCATGGCAAAGGAGAGTTTTGCGGATGTATTTGAAGGTGGATGCTTTGTGAATGTTTTCAGGGAGCCCCTCCCACGTGTGCTGAACAGCATGGGAGAAAGTAGAAAGATGCTTGTCTGAAAATGTAACCCGTGGCCAATGGAGGCTGGCATGATGGGCCCATCAGAGATGAGCATCAACATTCAATACCAAATGAGAGATGCTAGGTAGGGTGGGAAATGGCCAAGAAGGGACTAGAAGATGAATACAAGCAGTTTATATTTGATGTGATAGAGAAGGGAGAGCCAGGGGAGGAATTAAAAGCTAGGGATGACATGGGCAAAGTGATGGTGTACACATACACACATACGTATATACATACACCCACCAAATTTTTGACCTGCTTGCTCCTAGCTGTCTTTGTTCAAGGCCTGATCTGAATCTGATAGGTATGCTCCGAGCATGCCTCTGGGATCAGGCCCTGCAGGTGATAAAGGCAGGGTATTGCTTAGGTTGACAATCCTACTAGGGGTTATGCATGAGCTAGGGAACCAAGCAGCTCAGTGGCATCAGGAATTAAGTGATTTTGTGTATGTTCACAGGCAGAACTTAGGTGCTTAGGGGACTTTTCCAGCAGAACCTTAGGTGCACTAGGAATTTAGGCAGCTAAAGGGTTAGGCACCAGCTGAGCAGAGGTTTGAGGATCTCAGTGGTGCCTAAATGTTGGACTTAGGCACCTAAAATGCCTACATCCCTTTGTGGATCTAGCTCTGTGTACCTGAAAGTGTGAGAAGAACAGTGTTACATGGAGTTTAATGATATTATCCCCACGCACATGATGGAGACACCCCCTTTTCTCTGACTCCACCTTTCCAGGGTCACAAGGGTCCTCCTATTCCTTCCTACAGAGCTGCAAGGGAGTCCCTGGAAAAGGTGACAGCTCCATTAATGTAAAATGGGAGGTTAATTTCAGAGTGGTTGGGTCTTCATCTGGTCTGGGGTCTGTCAGAGGGGGCGCAGGAATAAGGGTAACTGAGTTAACTGTCCCTTTTATCCTGAAGTGTCCAGAGATTTCTCAGACTTTGGATCAACTGAAAAGAGAAAAATAATGAGATTCAGGGTGACAAAAACAATCAGTAAAATGTCATTCTCTTCCATGTTCTGCAGCTACCAGGGTGATGGTAGGCTAATATTAACGGCTTTCCCTTCCCCCTGCCCCAGTTCTTGTCATGCAAACAGAAAGCAGAAGACCAGTAGTAGTGCACCTTTGATCCTACCCCTTATAATTTATGGTCATTTTGGAGGGTCTGGGGGCTTTAGTACCACCTCTTCTGTATCCCATGGGAGGAGTAAGGAGTGAGGTTGTGCTCCAGTCAGGGACAGGGACTTCTTTGGCTTTTAGTATTTCTTACACCTTCACCCCCATTCCTCTTGCCTCTCCCGACTGGCTGCTTGACCTTATCTCAGGAGAGGAGTTGAGGCAGGACTGTCCTTCAAATGTCTGCTCGTATATTACACACCCATTCTGCCCAACAACACTTTAGCTCTATCTCTTCTCTCTTTTCACCTGATCTGCTTGTGAGCAGATGTAACACACAGTGTCTTTGTTCATACATATTAGTAAGAATATAAAAATATCAAAAGTCAAATGGGCAAACAAGACCTGAAATTCTGTCTCAGGCAAATATACAGGCCTGAGTACTACGTTATCATCACTAACACTCCTAAGAGCTACCCCTCTCCTCCCTAGCAAGAGGCACTGTAAGAAGAGAAGCAGGAGAACTAGCTACGGAATGATCTCCCGGTTACTCCATTTCCAGCTTCTCCCTCAAGGAGGCACAATGGAAAGGAGGTAGGAGCACGAGGTATGAGGGGAGCTCCCAAATACTCCAGTCTGGGCTTCTCCCAGCAAGGCTGCTGTAGGGAAGGAGGCGGGACAGCTGGTTGTGAGGGAGCTTCCAGCTATGCTACTCCCTACAGGAAGCACTGTAATTAGAGTGGCAGGAGCGCTAGCTGTAGCAGGTGCTCCAAGCTACTCCAGTCTCTGCCTCTCACAGCCAGCGGTAATGTAGGGAGCAGGGCAGGAGCTCTGACTGTGGAACCTCAGACTAGGGAGAGGGCTGAAGTGCTTTACACTCTTACCTGTTTTTCTTCTCCTGAGCAAGAGGCCAACGAGAGCAGCAAGGAAGATGAAAGTAGCAATGAAGGCTCCCACAAGCTCTTTAGATGTTTTTTGCTCTGTTGGAGAAAGAGGGGGAGTCAGTGATGTGAAGCTCATCTGAGTCTGTTTCAGAGAGCTAAAATTCTTCACACAGATCACACACAGGGCAGGGTTGGGATCCTATTGGAGGAGAGATGTGGAAAGTTCCTGGGGAAAGATTAGGATCTCATTAGAGAGAAGTGACAGTCCATAGGGCAGCATCAGGTCCCATCAGGGGGAGAAGTATGTGGTGGGGGCAGGGCAGAGTATGCTTTCAGGCAAAGCTGACTTCTTATTGGGTAGAACAGTGCCACAGGGAGCAGGGACTATGCTGAGTTCCTATTGGGGAAGGAAGGGGGTGAGGGCAAAGAAGGTCCTGGTTCCCTTGGAGACAACAGTGTATAGGGGTCCTTGGGGCATGGTTGGGTTCCCAATAAGGAGTCCGCCAAGCAGGATCAGGGTCCAAGTGCTGCCTTTTTGCTCCCTTGAAATGACTGCCCCCTTAACAGAGTAAGGTGCTGCACGATGCAGAGAACATGCTTTACAAAGTGCTTTAGAGGATGCAATAAGAGCTGAAGAAGTGCAACTGAGAAGCCAGGAGAGGAAAGAAGGGATGGGGAATGAGGGCAGGCAGGGAAATTGGGAGAAATTGGAGGTGCTCCAAATGGGATGGGGTTATAGTACCCACCAATTGAGAGGTTAGGGAAGAGCTGGAGCTAGGAGATCAGAGGGTTGAAGCAAAAGCTGAGAGGCGGGGCAATAAGGAGCACTCACCCTCCTTTCCCCCTGTTTACCTGGTGCTCTGAGCTGGGCACTAGCTGTGATTGGCTCTTCAAGGGCCAGATGCGAGACATGACAGCGGTAGGTGATAGGTCCCAGCTCTGTGGCTGTGTTGATACTCAGGTACGAATTGATGCTGTAGGTGCCATCCTGGGCTTGCCTATGGCTGGAGAAGTATGTGCTTGAGCCTGAGATAGGGACCTTGTCCTTGTCGTCAGGGGCCTCCCGTGTCCACTTCACCGACACATCCAGGGGGTAATAGCCAGAGATCTCACAGGTCAGGGTAGTAGCTCCATCCCCCTCACGTGACACCAACTCTGGGAACAAACGGACTCTTGGGGGCTCTGGAGGGGGTTAAACATGAAATTAAATCCAGCCGGTGATAAACTGTGTTTGAGGGGATGGAGTAGTACAGAGGAGTCCCTCAGCCCCACTGGGTGGAGCTGGGGAAGCAAGGAGGGGAGCAGAGAGATGGGGGAAGGGTGAGGTTCTGGTGAATGGGGCCTGTCTCCCCTATTGCCCCCTAACTAGGTATCCTTAGAGCATCATTGCCTCACCGACCAACTGCAGCTGGATGATGTTCTGGGCCTGGTGCTGGGGGGTGGACAGTAAACAGATGTATGTCCCTTCATCCCCCACACCCACTCCATGCAGGCTAAGTGATGCATCTCCAGTCTCCAGCAGTTGCCCCACATCCACGTGGGCCATTGACTGTTCTGCTTGTGCCACATCCCCCGCCTGGTAGTGAAAAACTCTACGTCCGCTGCCTCGGTGCTGCAGCCTCCACTCCAGCGAGGCCAGTGGAGAGCTGGAAGCCAAGGCAAAGCTGCAGTCCAGGGTGACGGAGGTGCCAAGTCGGGTACGCAAAGTAGGGGTGCGAGATGACAACTGGAATTCAACTAGGAACAAAGAGAAGGAGAAAGACGAATAGACTGAGACAGTGTTAAATATATGTGGTTATGGAAGACTCCCCCTGGCAGGACATCAGGGACTGGGTCACAGTTCCACCCCCTTGGAGGAAGCATGCTGTGGACTGATTGGCCATGCTGGGTTGAAAGGTTGGAGATGTGTCTCCCCGCAAGAAGATCCCATCCTGCAGGCTGCAGCGCTATTAGCAGGGTATGGGGAGTACGTACATATTGCTCTCCTTGCTACACCAAACTCTTGGAGAGCAGACATAGCACTTGCCAAGGGTCACAGTGGTGTGGCAAATAATGAACATAAGAACATAAGAACAGCCATACTGGGTCAGACCAAAGGTCCATCTAGCCCAGTATCCTGTCTACCAACAGTGGCCAATGCCCCAGAAGGAATGAACAGAACAGGTAATCATCAAGTGATCCATCCCCTGTTGCCCATTCCCAGCTTCTGGCAAACAGAGGCTAGAGACACCATCCCTGCCCATCCTGGCTAATAGCCATTGATGAACCTACCCTCCATGAACTTATCTAGTCCCTTTTCAAACCCTGGTATAGTCTTATAATGACAGTGGTGGGGAGAACAACGGGGCCAGAATTGTGGAGTCAAGGGGCACAGAAATGCAAGGGCAGAGTGATCAAGGGGGCACATTGGTGGCCCAGCAGTTACATCCTGCAGATAGCAGGAGGCCCAGAGGGCCCCGTACATTTGAGCTTCCCTCAAGAAGAGGATTATCTATCCTGCAAACTCACAGCATGTGCGGTCCCTTTCTCTAGTTCCCTTAAGTCCCGGACTACAGAGTGGGGTGGTATTCCTGGGGTCTCTAGTTCCCCTAGCACTCCTTGGTGTGGAGACTTCAGCCCTGGAGTGTCTGGCTCCCCTAGTATTCCCTGGTGCAGTAGGTGCATTCCAGCACTAAGGTCTTTTCCCCTCATTTGCCACTTTCTTTACCTGTGGTCAGCACTGTGCCCTCCTTGCTTACAGGGACCTTCAGCCTTGGGTGCAGCACAACCATTCTGTCATCTTCCTCCCTGTCACTGCTGACCTTCAGCACCAGGGCTATGCTGATCCCACTGGACAACTTCAGGGTCCCCATGAACCAGGAGGCCTGGCTGGGCCCCTCATCTGCCAGGTGTAGGCTGTATGGAGAGATCTCACAGGTCACTTCCTCCCCAGCACAGTCTGCATGCAGCAGGGATTCCGCATATGGGACGGGTACCAAACTTGCTGTAATGAGAAAGAGAAGACATGTAGTTTGATGAATGGAACAGGAAAAACAGGATCAAGTTTCAGTAGGGACCTATTCTGGTGAGACGCCAAGGGCTGTCTACACCTAGTGTAAAATGGGGTCAGGCTGCTGCTATGCAAACACAAGAGCCTTAGCACGTAACATTGGTCTCCCAGCTTGTTTAAAGAAGTTCTTGTGGCGAATGAAGGAGTCATATGTATTATTTTTATGAATATCATATATTCTTCAGTTTACCTGTTTGCTTTAACTATGCAGCCAGACTGGATAATCTCAAAGGCTGTTGGGGGAAAACAACAGGGAACAAAACAATAACAGACAGACAATACCTTAAGGGAACAATAGGGAGAGCTATAATTTGGGAAATACCTACCTGCCTACATACCAACCATGCTAGCAAGGTTTATTCTTCCCAAGCCTAAACCTAGGAGCAAAGGGGATGCTGAAACATTAAAGGTCCCAGCCTGAAAAAGGAAGAGGTATTGAGGGCACAGCAACAGCTAGAGATGTGTGTCTGTCAAAGAGAAAATCTACTTGCCAAATCAATTATTGTTACTGAAGCACATGCCAATCTTTCTTGTTGCCTGCACTCTCTTCAGCTATACTCCACGTGACAAAATATGGGAGTGCTTTTAATAATTTGTTAATACTATATATTGGCCTGGCTCTGGTGAGGTGGTTTTTGTGAGAATGTCTTTGATTAAGGTCTTCCCAACAGGTGACCATCTGGGATGGTCCAGGCAGATAGGAGAAGATGGCTCAAGATGATCCTGTAACAGCTTTGCCAACTTTTTCTTATAGCCCTCGCTGAAATCAAACATTTGCATGAGAATTTCAGCTTTGATTAAAAAAGTAAGTTTCTAACCATTGTGATTGAGGAGAAAAACTTTGTTTCAACCGCTAAGTAAAAATATTTTGTTTTAAAATATTTGATTATTTTGTTGGTCATTATCACTGGTCACAGGTTCCCAAGGGAAGGAAACACAGGTGCCCAAAACCTAGCTGGACCTGCACCGTGATAAGCAGCTGTCATACATGGGGCACTGGTCCCAGCCCTGATCCAAGTATGAAAGAATCACAAGATTCCATCCCAAAACAGACAAGGGCAAGAGGCCCAAGACCTGATTTGGGTTCTCTGAGAGAGACTAGAAAGGGAACTGAAGTGCAGCTAGTCCTGTAGCTGTGATACTCCCCTTCTTGCACCCTCTCCTCTCCTTGTACCCCACCCTTATACCCCTGGCAAGTTGCAGACCCAGGGTGAAGTGTACGTTCTTCCACAAAGGAACTTTGTCCTCAGTTGAAGGCAGCAGGTTCTGTGGCTTGGCGTCTAGGTGGGACATGAGGGCAAGGAAATGTATAGTATAGACCATGAGCATAGCGAGATGTTTCAGAGATAGTCCAAATGTATAACATGCAGCCAGTTTGAAAGGTGCACAGTGAGGAAGGTGCTTGCAGAGCCCAGTGAACAGGGTAGCTGTAATTCTGCTGCTGGTCTGATGCATATTCATTATGATGATATGATTAAATTTTTAAATTACATTATCACACATGATTTTTCTCTGCTTTTATCATCAACTGGTTTGAACTCAGGACTTTCAGATCAACAACACAGACTTCTACCACTTGATCTCACTGGGTATGTCGACACTGCAAGTAGACACCCACAGCTGGCCTATGCCAGCTGACTCAGGCTCAGGGGGCTCATGCTGTAGACGTCCAGGCTTGGGCTGGAGCCCAGGCTCCAGGACACTGCGAGGTGGGAGGGTCATAGAGCCTGGGCTTCAGCCCAAGCACAGAAGTCTACACTGCAATTAAACAGCCCTGCTGCCCGAGTCCCCGAGGCCCAGTCAGCTGTCACAGGCCAACCACAGGTTTTTAATTGCAGTGTAGACATACCCAAGGAAGGAGTAAGTGGTAGCAGAAGTAGCCTGTGGAGCCTACAGATCAGGCACTAGAGGGTAGTGTGACACACTTTGCTAGAGGGTTACATAGCTGCTTGCTTGACAGCATAGAACTGTAGGTATCAGGATTCTCAGGCTCTCTCCTACATTCTCCCTAGACAAACAGCACTTCAGCACTCTCACTGCAGACCATCCTCAAATCCCCAACCACTTTTTTGCCACTTTCATGTCCAACCTTAAACTCTCCCGTCTCTTGTCATTTCCACTTTTCCACTCAAAATCTTGCTGATTTTTTCAGCAAGATTAGAAAAAGCCGCTCTTTCCTTCCCCTTTGCTATCTTCTCTTCCTTTTTCACTATCACTGAAGCTGAGATCTCTCATCTGTAGCTTTCCTCCTCTAACCATTTCAGCAGCCCCACATCCCATCCAAGTGTGTCCCCCTTCATCATGTTCTCCTTTGCCCCACTCTCTCCCTTCCTACCCTCCCTCATTCCCACCTTCTTCCTTACCTTCACCCCACACCTTCCCTGTTCTCTACCTTTCTACTATCAACTCCACCATGCAACTTTGCACTCTCTCTCTCTCCCTGTCTTTATCTAAGGAGGAAGGAAGGTGTCCATGTGTTTATGACAGTGGTGGACTACAGTTCAGGAGCCCAGGGTTGCACACTGCAAAATTGCCACGCAATAGCAGCTCCAACTGAGGTCCAGGGGTGCAAGTGCACCCACAGAAACCAGGTCCGGATAAGAACTGACTTGCACTGGCAGGACCACCTGAGGCAGGGTGTGCAAAAACATCCATCCCAAGATGCCCCGCTTCTGGCCCTCATTTTTAAAGTTCTCCCACGATCCTGTATTACCCTTGGCAAGTCCCAGAGCCAGCTACTTGGCCTAGCAACAGGTCTCACCAACCAATACAAAATTCAGGCGGGCAGGGCAGCAGCCAATCAAAATATGATGTTGCCCTGGCCAATCATTAGGATCCAAGCTCACCCTCCTCTGCCAATTACAGAGCCAGAGAAGGAGTGTTTTTGTCTACCCAGCAACACGGAACGTGTGGCCAATCACAAAAACACACCAATGGAAATATCAGGCAGGCCGAGCCCGCCCTCATTGCTATCCGGCCGAGCAACCTCTCAGGAAGGGTCTAAGGCCTAATAATATCAGGACAGATTTAGCCAATCAGGAAAGGAAGCAAGGTGATTGACAGACCAATATTAACCCCTTGAGGAAGCTAGTGCTGCAGGCTGCTGGTTTGCTGTCCTTGCCTTAAGTAATGGAATTTGGGTGAAGACGGCTCACTCACTGCATTGAGAGGGGGTGAGGCTGGGAGTATGGAGCAGATCTTGGCTGGATCTAGGATGCCCTCACTGATCAGGAGGGCAATTCTTCAAGGTGCTGAGGTTGTTGAATACCTTGTGTGTGTTTTCCTGGACCACAGTGTCCTGTATCCACTGTCCTTGAGAGTAGCTCCTGGGATGCCCAGCTGAAGTAATCAACAGCTGGTGTCTGAGCCACTGTAACCGTCTTGTCCAGGGACAAAGAAGATTCCTTTGGTGGTGAAGGCAGCTGGAGCATTTCCCTCACTGCTTCTATCACATCTTCAGAGGTTCCCTCTAGTTCTAGGGAGGGTGCTCTGGCCAGCAACACCAGAGGCAACTGAAATCTTCTCCTCTTTGCTGAGACATTGGAGGGGACCCTGCTCCAAGATCTATGGGAGGGCAGGCCAATGAGGCCATGGTGGCAGGTTGTACTGATACTGGCATAACTGGGTATGCCCCATCCAATGCTAGTTCTGCACCAGGACTCAGTACTGCATGCTTCCGAGTACCCTTGGCAGTATCGACCTCGCTCCTCAGGTGAGGGTCCCTGCTCAGTGTGGTAGAGAAGGAGTATATTGGTGACAGGGATGAAAAGTAGCTCTCAGGAAACGGCAGTGCTAATAGTTGTGACAATGGCTCCAATGGTAGGGCTGATGGTGCCAATATCAATGTTGATGCCTGTACTAGCATTGGGTCTGGTGCCGAGAGGAGCAGTTCCCAGTCAAGGGCATATTTTGAAACTCAGAAGGGCTCCAGTTTTGAAGTTCTGAAGTGTCGAAAATTGATAAAGAAAGTTAAAGACATCAAGAAAAAAACCATGCCGGCAGGTGCAAGGACAATAAGTAGTTTTTTAAGTGTATGAGGAACAAAAGAAATCCTAGCAATGGTATAGGCCCATTACTGGATGGAGATGGTAACATTAGAATAATAGGGTTGGAAGGGACCTCAGAAAGTCATCTAGTCAAACCCTCTGCTCAAAGCAGGACCAAACCCCAGACAGATTTTTTTACCGCAGTTCCCTAAATGGCCCTCTCAAGGTTTGAACTCACAACGCTGGGTTTAGCAGGCCAATGCTGAAACCACTGAGCTATAATGATGCTGAAAAGGCAGAAGAGTTCAATAAATATTTCTGTTCTGTATTTGAAAAGAAGCAGGATGACATACTCATATCACATGAGGATGATGAAGTACAGTATTTTCAAGAACTCAGTAACTAGGAATTATGTTAACCAATATCTATAAAGCACAAAATAATTTAAATCACCAGGTCCCTAGATAACTGGCATCCAAGAGTCATAAAAAAGTGTTGGCTGAGGAGATCTCTGGCCTGCTGATGTTAATTTTTAATAAATCTTGAAATACTGGGGTGCAATGGGGCACTCACCTCCTGAGTACCTCCTATTGGCTGGGTGAAGTACTGCAGTCCTCTTTTCCCCACTCATAGTACCCTCTATAGGTTGTCAACCTCGCTAGGCAGGTCTTCAGAGGCTCAGCCCTCTGGCCAACTCACTGTCCTCAACAGATGAACCCCTTCCGGGGTAGCAAAAGTCCAACAAACTATCTGCCCACATGAGGGTCTTCAGCCCCATCTCTGGGACCTTTAAATCCAGTCCCTTCGCTCAGGCTTCTGAAGGAAACTTGTCCCCTTCTTGGGGCTTAGGCCACTTTGCTAGTGGCCAGTGGGGGGACACAGGCCCACCCACTACTCCAGGTCCCAACTCAGGAATCCTATAAACCACAACCAAAATACTGCTGCCTCCAGTTTGCTGCTATTCCCTGGACCTTTTCCCACATAGCTCCCTTCTCTTCACCCTTCCCTCAGGGCTGAAGTTCTCAGATCTTCTTCCTCCTCATGGAACACAAGTACCACCAAAACCCTCCCTCTAGTTCTCTCTCAAGCTCCTGTGACCAGCAAGGAGCACCCTGCCTTGTTCCTCTGGACTCAGCCAGGAACTGACCTGCTCAGGCCCAGCAGCAGCTTTTATTTGATCCTCCTGGGCTCTGACTGGCTGCTTCTATGCAACCCTTCTAAGCAGGCCTGGAGGACCCATCTTCACTGCTCCTCTCCTGGGGCAGGGTGAGGTAGGACCACAAGGCCTCCAGCAAGGGGCTTTTAAGGGCCAGGTACATCATGTCACATGGGAAATTCCAGAAGACTGGAAGAGTGGTAATGTTGTGCCACGTTTCAAAAACAGCGAGTAGGATGACACAGGCAACTGTAGGTCAGTTAGCTTGATATCAATCCCCGGCAAAATAACAGAATAGCTGATACAAGATTCAATTAATAAAAAATTTAAATGACAGAAATATAATTAATGCCTCTCCACATGCTTTTATTTTAAATAGATTTTGTCAAACAAACCTGAATTCATTCTTTGATGTGATTGCAAGTTCAGTTGATAAAAGCAGATGTAAGACACTTAGACTTTTGTAAGGTGTTTGACTCAGTACTGCATGACAATATGATTTTAAAAATTAGCATTAACACAATATCAATACAGCACATGTTAAATGGATTAAGAACATTTTTGTCAATGATATGGAAGTAAATATAAAATCACTGCTGATAAAATTTTCAGATGACACAAAGACTGGCAGAGTGGTAAATAGCAATGAGGATGGGGCAATCATACAGAAGGAACTGGACCAGTTGGTAACCTGGTGTGACATTATCTGACTAAAATATGACCATGTAGATCGGGGTGGGCAAACTATGTCCCGCAGGCCGGATCTGGCCCGTCAGGGCTTGGATCCGGCCTGCGGGATTGCCACTCCCATGGCACCACGGGCACCTTGCTGCTTCTAGGAGCGGTGCGGGAACAGGGCCGTCAGGCAGGGAGCCTGCCCTGGCCCTGCTGCACTCCATTGCCAGCCCAGAGCCACCCCAGGTAAGCGGTGCCGGGCTGGAGCCCGCACCCCAAACCCCTCCTGCACCCCGCACCCCAACTCCCTGCCCTGAGCCACCTGCCACACCCTGCCTGCATCCCTGCTGCACCCTGCACCCCTCCTGCACCCCAAACCCCTGCCCTGAGCTCCCTCCCACACTCCTCCCTGCACCCCTGCCCTGAGCCCCTTCCTGCACTCTGCACCCCCTCCTGCACCCCAACCCCCTTCCCTGAGCCCCCTCGTACACTCTGCGCCCCTCCTCTGCCCCAACCCCCTGCCCTGAGCCCCTTCCTGCACACCACACCCCCTCCCAAACACTGCACTCCCTCCCGCACCCCAACCCTCTGCCCCAGCCCTACATTCAAGGCCCTGCATGCAATTTCCCCACCCAGATGTGGCCCTCGGGCCAAAAAGTTTGCCCACCTCTGATGTAGATCATTGTTGCTACCACTGTTATATAATTGCAACAAATACTGTACAAAGGTTATCAAGTAAGGTGTCTATGGAAAGGTTATGATTTGCTGAATATGATTATGCTATTTGTATGCACATAACATTTTGTATTTGAAGTTATGAGCATTGGTTCTATACCTGGATTTCAAATGTCTTTGCCTGGGGTAGCGCTGACAAGGTAGTTAGCCAGCACATCTTGGAAGAACTGTTGAAATTGAGTGGCCCATCAAAAGAACATTTAACTCACAATGGAATACACCCACCTACCCTAAATGGACTTTCCTGTGAACGTGCTGTTTGAGGTATAGGTAATGGCTTCTACTGTGTCTAATCATGCACAGACATGTGACTTGCCTATGTGACTCCAAACATCATCTTGTCAACTATGATTTTCCACTAGCTGTGCTGAGGGCTTTGTTTGAAACAATGGGTTTCCCTCCACATGGCAGAAGCTATAAAAGGCCCTGGAAACACCTCCATTTTTCCTCTTTCCTGCTCAAGCCTCTGGACTATGGAATTATATCAATGGGAGCATTCTAACCAAGGGATCAAGGACCTTCTATTGATTTGGAAGCAACCAGAGACTTGACTTAAGCCAGCAGTTTATTCCATCACTGCTACAAGCCTGAACCAAGAATTTTACAATTATTATATGTACCTGATTCCTTTAACCAATTTTAACTTTCACCTTTCTTTCTTTCCTTTTATAAATAAACCTTTATATTGTAGATACTAAAGGATAGGCAACAGCATGATTTTTGGGTAAGATCTAAGTTATATATTGACCTGGGTATGTGGCTGGTCCTTTGGGATCAGAAGAACCTTTTGTTTGATTAAATTGGTTTAAAGAACCACTCATCTCTAAGTCTAGTGTTTTCGGACTTGGACTGGAATGCCTAAGGAAACTGCTTTTATGACTTCTTGTTAGTCAGTGTGGTGAAACAGAAGTTTATTTTTGTTGCTGGTATTGTATATCTCATGGGAGAATAACCACTAGTTTGGGGTATGTCCGCCCTATTTCTCAGCAGTTTATCCTGAATTTGGTATTCTCAGTTGTGACCCACAAAGGCACTGTTACACCTGGGCGCATTCAAAAATTTGCATTTGAATACAGCCAAATGCAAAACTGTACATCTAGGAACAGGAGATGCAGGCCCAAGTTATAGAATTGAGGCTATATCCTGAAAATAGTGACCATCCAACAGATTTAGGGGCTGTAGTGGACAAACATTCAATATGAGTTCCTAGTGTGATGCTGTGGCAAAAAGGGTTAATGTGATCCTTGAACATATAAACAGGAGTGCAGTGTGTATGCCCCTGGTGAAAGTGATAATGGAATACATGTACAGATGTGATGTCCACATTTTAAACAAAACGTTGAAAATTTTGCAGAGGGTTCAGAGAAGAGCCACAAAAATTATTTGAGGGCTGGAAAAAATGTTTACAATGAGAGGCTTAAAGAGCTCAATCTGCTTAGTTTATCAAAAAGAAGATTGAGAGGTTACTTGATTCCTGTGTATAAGGGCCTCCATGGGGAGAAAATATCAGGTGTGAAAGAGCTCTTTAATCTAGTGAGAAAGGCCTAACAAAGAACTAATGGCTGGAAGTTGAAGCCAACCAAATTCAAATGAAAAATAAGACATATTTTCTAACAGAGAAGGTGATTAGCTCTTGGAACAACTACCATCTCTTTAAGTCTTCAGATCAAGATTGGATGCCTTTCTGGACAAACACCAGTGTTTGGGCTCAATACAGAGATAAAGGGGAGAAATTTTATGGCCTGTATTATACAGGATGTTAAACTAGATCAGCCGTTCTCAAACTGTGGGCCAGGACCCCAAAGTGGGTCGCAACCCCATTTTAATGGGGTCGCCAGAGCTGGCTTAGACTTGCCGGGGCTTGGGGCTGAAGCCTGAGCTCCACTGCCTGGGGCCGAAGCAGAAGCCATGCATGAGGGATTCAGCCCTGGGCAGCAGGGCTCAGGTTACAGGTCCTCTGGTTGGGACTGAAGCCCTTGGGCTTTGGCTTTGACCCCTACCCTTTCCAGAGAACTGTGGCTCAGACTTTGGCTTTGGCTCCCCACCCAGGACAGTGGGAATCATGCAGACTCAGGCTTTGGTCCCCCCTCCTGGGGTCATGTAGTAATTTTTGTTGTGAAAAGGGGGTTGCGGTGCATTGAAGTTTGAGAACCCCATAACTAGATTATCTAATGGTCTCTTCTCGCCTTAAAGTAGATGAATATATTAATTAAAATCTATGAATATTCTGGTCCATGGCCTTGTCTATATTGGGACTTTAGCTACTGATATAACTGGGATTTTAGCCACAGTGCAAACTCTCTTCTGTATGATACGATTTATATTGGTGCAGCCTGATTATCACCAGGGCAGTTTGTTCGGGTTTCAGTCTCCATCAGTGAAAATAATGGCTTTTCCTTTTTTCACTAGGAGTACCAATGCAATTATCTCAGAAGGAGACTGTGATGGTAATTCATTAATAAGTATGTGGTGCTCAGATATTGTGGTGGTGGGTCATGTGGGTAAGTAGTGTTGTTGTAGCCATGCTGGTCCCAGGATTTTAGAGAGACAAAGTGGCTGAAGTAATATCTTTTATTGGAGCAACTTCTGTTGGTGAAAGAGACAAGCTTTCAAGCTACACAGAGCTCTTCTTTGGATCTCAAGGAGGGCTGAATAAGAGCTAGCTCTGTGTAGGTCAAAAGCTTGTCTCTCTCACCAACAGAAGTTGCTCCAATAAAAGATTTTACCTCACTCACCTTGTCCGTCTAATGTAAGTAAGTTGATAGATAGTGACTCTATCTAAGTCTCTATTTACACAGAGCCCTTCATCCTGCTATCCCTTTGTCCATCACATGTCCTGTGAGCCCCTAGGGCAGGGCTCTGTGTTTTGAGTATGTGCAGATTTCAGTTCACTCATGGATTACTGTGGCTGGCATGGCAATTCTCCTATCCCCAGCTCCTCACTCACCTGAGACTTCAAAGATGATGGGAGAAGCGGAGTCAGTATTTGTGCCTGGCGCCTCATAATTGGTGACACTGTCCAAGCTTCCATCATCAGCAATGCTGACACCTCTCAGCACTAGGGTGGCAGGGTCTGAGGAGAATGATCCAGCAAAGGCACCCGGAAATCCACCCACAGCTTCCTCTATATAATGACAGTCCAAGACCACATCCACAGAGCGTAATTGGGACCCCGGGGCCAGCTCCACTGGCAGCTCTGCTGAGAAGAAAAAGAACCAGCTGAGAGGTGGGGTGCACACACACACATACACATACCTGCTGCCCCATTGGGACAAGACATTTGGCACTGACATCTTGCCCTTTGCTGGGACAGCCCTATAGAAAAGGGGAT